CAAGCACTGAGTGGCCGCAGTCAGGTTCAGTGACTGTATCAGAGCCACACTGCACCGCAGACGTGTGCCGTGTAAATTGTCTAAGCATTAATGGTAGGGAAAGCCCCTTATACTGGAGCGCGGCCACTTATGAAGTGTTTCTTGGAGGTTATAGTACATTGAAGAATGATCATATGACTTTTTACATACGCCATGTGACCTGTAAATGCGAAAAAGCCGTTTCCATTGCAGTTTTGCGAATTATTCCTTTTTCGCATTGCCTGAAAAACCACCTCGTGCGAGCGTAAAAACTTTTTTGCGATATATGGCCGTTTTTGTGAAATTGAAAAACGCGCCTACTGTATTACTGGGTTTCTCATCTGTGGGCCTTTAGCTCCAAACATGATCAAACACACCTGAATAAGCTAATCAAGGTTTTCAGGATAATTAGAGAGTTATATGCAGGTGAATTTGATCAAGGTTGGAGCTAAACTCTGCAGTAAAGTGGATCTCAAGGGCCAGAGTTGAGAACACCTGTTGTATTATATGCTAGTAAGACCAAAAAAAGTGTTATCTCTTTTCTTTCTAACTAATTTTTTAGTTGTATCTGTGGTTGGCAGTGAGGATGCTACTCCTTTTGAGTCGGCTACGGAGGTTCCCACAGTTACCCAATCAAACGGCTCTGAACACTTATTTGGTAAGATGTCACCTTACTGTAACTAAGCAAGTTAGCAATAAGCCTGAAAGGAATTATATATTTTTGTTTCTGTCTTTCAGACAGTGAGATGCAGAAATTGCAGGACATTCTGACCTTAGCAAATGCTCAAGGCACAAACAAGTATCCTTCAACATCCAAATCATGGTGTTTGCGCCAGTCTGTAGCCCAAGAGGAGTGGCGCAAAGCAAGGTCCTATCACATAAACGGCTTGCTGTCCTGCAGTGTGGTTCCAGAGCAGAACTGCAGCCGCTGCACATCTCCTGCCATCATTCGCTGCAAAGACTGCATGCAGAAGAGTGGCTGTGTATGGAGTGTGACATACACATACACAAAAAACTCACCCTTCATAACAGGGAGTCCTGCATTGAGGGAATTTACAAGCCCATTGAGCCAACAGTGTGATGTGTAAGAAAAGATGGCAAATATACACTGGTCAATCAAGGTACTGTGAATGCTGACACGCTGTTTTCATTGGATGTCTTCAGCACTTTTGAAGAAATGAAAACTGTTGCACCCAGTTTATCACGACAAGGTTTTTTGCAGATGTTGGAGAGGAGGACTTGTCACTTTAAAAGGGTAAGATCAGTGTGGATCAAAGTTGCCTTAAGTATAGATGGAAGAATATTAGTGTAGCTATTTCATTTTACTCTTCACTAATCTAATGTACAGGCTGGGAAAATACATGGAGATGTATTACAAAGAAGCTTTATGGAATACACATTCTGCCAGTACCAGTGTGAGAAAATGGCCAGTGTAGAGCATTTCACCTGCCCAGCATGTACACCCAACACCCTTGCTCTTTGTGCAGATGGCAACAGAAAACTGTACCGATTTCGTCAGTCAAAAGGGTTAGTTGGTTTACACTTGTAATTATTTTACTTAATGTAAAATTAACAGAACAAATAATGTCTGACACTCAACATAAAAGGGTTAGTTATTTTACACTTGTAATTATTTTACTTAATGTAAAATTAACAGAACAAATAATGTCTGACACTCAACATAATCTTTTTTTATTCTATTAAGGTCAGAAGAACCATGTTTTGATGGTACCTTCATTGCCAAGGACACTGATGTACACCATTTTGTTGATGAGATCAGGAGTAAAATTAAAAGTGTAAGTAAAATCTAAAATGTTTGATTTTGATAAAAGTATGATTGTTGCTTTATTAAATAGTTAATGTATCCCTCAAGAACATTAGGTTTTAGTAACATTAGTTTAGTAACTTGGTCATTCATCATTGTAGGGTATCAGACCGAATCAGACAATGTAAGATTTGATAAAGAACAGTTGAAACACGAGGAGCCGAATTCCACAGAGAGGCCCAAGACACAGGATGTCGTAAATCAGATCCTGGCACCACAAGCCTGAACCAACTAGCAGTTTTGAGTAGCTCACAGAATTTAAACAAAAGAACACTTATTGACAATTCCAAGGAGATTGTCAATTTTGGGGGCAAGTAATCAAGATTAATGGTCAGAGATGCACAGCATGACCATCATATGTAAACCAGGAAATTAAAAGGTCAGAGATGCACAGCATGACCATCACATGTAAACCAGTGACGATCACGAGCTCTTTGGATTGACTTCCCCCACCTCGACGACAAAGAACAGACTGAGATTCCTTACAGACCTTTTAACCTCTGGTCTGCACAGAACATGTCCTCAGCCACAGAATGGCACCGAAACTGCCTTTCCATGCACCAAAATGAACTCAAAAGGACTTGTGAGCAACTAATAATTTCTATGCATAACTCCATA